GTCGAGTAAACATTAATTTACAGTAAGATACAGTAAGGTCGAGTAAACATTAATTTAAAGTAAGAAGCAGTAATGTCGAGTGAATATTAATATGCAGTAAACTTACGTGGGTACAGCGAGTAAAGCAGCGTTTCCACGCCTGTCGAGCAGCGTGTGCAGGATGCGCTGCAGTAAGGCTCGGGTGCAAGGCTCTCCTGCACTCGATAAACGCAGTAACGCTTCTAAGAACGCAGCTGGGAAAGCCTTGCTTAATTCTGTTGTTTTATATGTGGTTCCAACCTGAAAATTTATTAATATTATTGTTAATTATTATTTTAGTATAAAATTACACTTTTAACTATTTTAAATATATTATTTTCTAAGTATGAGTAAATATCTTATTGATATTCTACGAAATGTTATAAAATCAGTCTATTTTCAGTGATGACATAGGCGGATCCTTAGTATAGACTTTTTCACTACATCATCACTAAGGGAACCTTTCTATGACAATTAATTCTTGTTAATAGTAACTGATAAACTAAGAGTGATTTTATGATTATTGAACTTTCACCAACGAAATAAACGTTTGTAAGTATGTCTGTTGTTTGCAATAAAATGGTTCCTTTAGTAGTCCCTTAATGTTTTTTAATCTATACTCAAAGACGCCTCAAGTGGCATTAACAGAGTCAATGGAGACTTGTGTTGTTTTATTAATTTTAAATCCAATTATTAACACATCTTTATGGAGACATGTGTTAGTGCGTGTTCGTTACCTTGAGGAGTGACTTGAGCAGTATGCTGTGCAGCATCAGGTCGGGCTTGGCTGTCTTGCCGGCGCGCTGGCCGCTCGGGATCTTGCTGACGATGAACATCATGATGTCTATCTTCTGGAAGTCGGGCAGGTGGTCCGCGAACTCTCCCAGCGCGTTGATCAGCGCATCCTGGTACAGCTTCTCTTCGCTCTCTTTCTGTACAAGGGAGATAGAGATAGCAATATTAATAGAAAAGTACTGGTATAGTTTCGTCTCGCTCTCTTTCTATACTAAAGGGAGACAGCAATACGGTTAATGAAGTACTGTTATCGTTTCGTCTCGTTTTATTTCTGTACGAAAGAAAGAAGAAAACACTATTATTTGTAGTACTTGGTTACCTTTGTCTCGCTCTTTTTCTATGCCAAAGAGGGAGATGGCAATAGTAATAGTATATAGTTAGTAAAGTAATAGTATATAGATAGTAAAGTACTGGTATAGTTTCGTCTTGCTCTATTTTTATACAAAAGAGAGAGATAGCAATATGAATAGTAACGTATTGGTATAGCTTTTTCTATAGGAGAAAAAGAGATAGAAAAATTACCTCAGAATCTCTAGCCACAGAAGCCCTCAAGTTGGTTAGAAGATTATTGATGATTTCCAACACTGATGGTCCTGTAAAATACAAATTACACATAATTACAAACACAAATAACTAAAACAAATTTGTAACTAAGTATATATACTAATTATAAATATAAAAAAAAAACTCGTGTTAGTTACACTATTAACTCAAGAACGGCTTTACCGATGTGGCTGAAAATTGGTGAGGAGGTAGCTTAGAGCCAGGAGACGGATATAGGATACTATTTATTCCATTAATGGATTTATGTTTCTCTCTGTCGATGAAATTTGGCATAGAGGTAGGGAATATTCTAGAACACAAATACTATTTACTTATGCTTTTTTTTTATTCTACGCAGACGGAGTCGCGGGCGAAAGCTAGTATTATAAACGAGTAATTTTAGATGGACATTTGTTATATTTTCTAGTCTAAACTGCTGAACTGATCGCGATGAAATTTTTCATAGATTTAGGTTAGCCTTTATAGTGTGTCTAAATAATTTAGATTAGTTTGACAATTCATTTCAAATTTAGTAGGGATGAGTTGTGTAAAATCAGTCATGAATCTTATCGATTTTTATTTTTATTGATTTTTATTCTCATAGAAGTTGGAATCGATAGATTTATAGTTAAAACTTATAAATTGAAAAAAAAACTGTTTTCTCAAATTAATAATGACCATAACAAATAATGAGAGTAAATAAATGTTTACTACTACTACAGCCGTACGTAATCGAATTGGATTTAACTATCATTTCTGTCATCGCTAAATTCTCTACTCTATAATCAATACTAGATTTTGTCCTATAAATTAGTTAATAAGAAAATAATACTTTTAATCGAGTTCGATAATTATTTAAACCGAATATCGATAGTTCCAAATTATTCGCTATGTGTGTTTGTCTTGTCACTACGATACCTGTCTATTAAGTATGGCATTTACTTTTATAGAAATTTAATTCGATACTTCATATATGTTATTTATCAAACTAATCTATTTTATTTAGACAAATATTAGCGGGTTTATTGAGAAGGTATAACTTACCAACGCTATCAGCAGCTGCGATAGCGACGATGTTGCTGAGGACGGAGGCGCGTGCTGCCCGCACCAGCGTGCGCGCGCCGCCGCCGGGGCCCGCGTCCAAGTGCTGCATTAACGCCTCCACCACGCTGTACGAGTACTGAGCCTGAACAATTATTATATTTACTTATAACTAGTGTTAAGAACAAAACTAGTACCGTGCTATAGAATTGGTGCAACTCTAGATTATCGTCATAAACGGTACGTCCCTAGTTGACAGCTGTCAATGTCACTAGAAGTATGGATAAATTGGCGCGCAACCTGAGTCCTGACGAGAAGTGTTGCTCTGAGTTTAAAGCGACAGTATCAATTAAATAAGTTGTCTAAAACTAGCTATTACCCGCGGCTCCGTCCGTCATCATCTCCCCTAATCCTACTCCCGTAGGGCGCACCGGGTTTTCGTCCTCCAAATAACTCTATCATAGTTATTATAAAAATTTAAAAATAACCTAATCTTACCAACTATTACTTTTTATAGCGTAGTACCCAAAGTGTCTATATAAACCCGTAATTGGGTTTAAGGACGCTTTTATTTAATTACTAGTTTTCGCCCGCGACTCCGTCCGCGTGGAATGAAAAAATCATAAATATTATAAATGCGAAAGTTTAGATGGACGTTTGTTAGAATTTGTAGCCTAAACTGCTGAACGGATTTCGATTACATATGGTATAAATTTAGAGGATAATCTAGAAGAACCATAAACTATTCACTTTTGTTTTTTTTTAATACCATGAGGACGGCGACACGGGCGAAAGTTAATAATAATAAATATAACCTACGTTACTTTGTAAAGATAGCCTCAATAGCGTTTAAGCGCAAAGTATATTTAATAAAAAAAAATGTTTAAAAAGTCATTTTCTTCTTTGAATAAAGATTTTTTTATATTGTGTATGACAATTACGAGTGTTTGTTGTACTTAATTATATCAAATTAATCTAACTAATATTATAAATGAGTGGAGGCGCCACTGTGCCACGGTTAACAATGTGCTCGTAATTAAAGTAGTTTTAAAATTAACCAAATACCTAAAGTGATACGAAAAGTGATAAACTATTTAAATCGTGCAGAAATGAACTAGATTAATATGAAGAATTAAGTGTACAAGTTCGTTAAAATGGTATATTTGTGTTAAATACGGTGCATCATAAGTAACTCGTGAACCGCTTACGAACTATCATTGGACCTCTAAAAGTGAAAAATGGTGTTTGTTTGGGAACTCTGCAAGATTCACTGTGGTACAAAAGTGAAAATTGTGAATATGTATTAAAATTATTATTTAATCGTAACCTCAAAATTGCATAAAAGCATTGTACCGCAGCAGCGCCATCTATTGCCCGGAGTCTGACCTAAGATCGGATTAGCAAAACGCCATCTTACATTATTTTAACACAACGTAAAAGAAAATACGATCAATAAAAATCAACGTCGCTGTACTGCCATCTATCCGGATATTGGATCAATGTAAAAACTATTTACAGTATGGACGAAATTAAGCAGATGTTACTAATAATGCAACAAGGTATCAAAGAACAACAACAAGACATGTTAGATATGAAAGAAGACATAAAGAATGCAATAAACAGTAATATTAATGAGAAATTTGAAAAGATGGAAAGGAAATGTGAACTTTTAGAGAAAAAATTGGAAGAACAAAACAAAAGAATAAACAGTTTAGAGAAATATTGTAGACGCAAAAATCTGGTTATATTTGGAGTAGACGAAGATGAAAAATCTTATAATGAACTAGAAGATATAATAATAAATATTGTTCACACTTACTTCAAACTGCCATGTAATAAAAATAATATTGAATCTGTCAGGAGACTAGGGAGAAAAGGCGATAAGATAAGACCGGTTGTAATATCGTTTAACACGTTAGGCTTCAAACTAACCATTCAGAAAAACAGGTCTTGCCTAAACAACACCCCCTACTATATAAAGGAAGATTTCCCTATAAATGTCTTAATCAAACGCAAGGAGTTACAAACCGAACTACTTAAACTAAAAGAAGAAGGTAAGACTGCTTACATAAAATACGACAAAATCATTGTATCGAGTAGCAGCCAACACACTCCTCGCACGCAGATAAACAAGAGAAACCTGTCAGAGTCTCCCGAGTCATTACATCATAACGTACAAAATGTTCCAAAAGATAACAAACAGCGATCAAAGAAAAATAAATCAAACAACATTAGAAATTACATATTACAAAAACCAAAACTAAACTTAATTAATACAGATTCTGCTCAGAGCAAAACAAAGACATCACAGCAAGACGGTATGCAGCAAGAAAAGTGACCCTCCACTCCCACCTATCTCCCAGTACGGCCAGTCACCGCGGGAGAATTCGACCATAACCCTCCAACTTAAATATCATAATAACTTTATACAAATATTTTAAATAGTAATAATTAAGTAAATGTAGTTACATTCTGAAACTAATAATTAGTTAACAAATTAGTTTAACTTCTAGAATCTTAATTAAATACATATGAACATAAACTCATATTTATAATATCTACCAATCTGTAATATACAATTTGTTGAAACAATACTATGTAAATTGCTTAAATACAGCTTGTAAGCCCATTTTTTATATGTTTCATCGATGTATTATCGCATAAATAGGATTAACAGAAATAAGAAAATGAAAAATATTACTAAATAGAAAAAAAAAATACTACTCATTGTACATAAAAGAACTATCACAAATACACAGCCTGTCTACAGATTGCATTAGTTATACTTTTTTATTTATAGTATAGTACTGTTTAAATTAGAAAAAATATCAATAATTACTGTAATTTCAAACTATAAGCTATTGTATATTTAAGCGGATAAAATGCTAAAAAAATGCGTGTTTATTATGTATCAACTTTTTACGCCGTATCAAAATATTTACGTATTAAAATATGTTTTTATGTCAAAAAATATAGAAGCTGCTGTAATTGGAGGAGGCTTTTACCCGTAATGGGGTCCATACAATAGGAGAAAAGTGCATGATAATGTTATTGTACAAATATATTGTAACATTTGTGTATGGAATTTAATAAAGCTAAATAAATAAAATAAATAATATTATAAATGTAAAGTTTAGATGGATGTTTGTTAGAGTTTGTAGCCTAAACGGATAAACGGATTTCGGTGAAATTTGGTAAAGATGTAGAGGATAGTCTGGAAGAAGAAATAGGCTACACAATTTTGTTTTTTTTTAATTCCACGCGGACGGAGTCGCGGGCAAAAGCTAGTAAATTATATTAGTTTTGACTTTACCTGTATAGAGAACATGATAATCTTGAAAGTGTGGACAGCGAAGTCGTTCGGCACCCATAGCTCGTGTCGGTCGAAATGTCTGCAAAATACCATATACAATATACAATAGAACCTCGATAACTCAAACCTCGTCAATTTAAAAACCTCTCTAACTAAAAATAACATTTTCCCTTCTCATCAGAGCCAAAAATTCTACAACAAAGACCCTTGATAACTTAAAACCTCTATAACTTAAAATATTTTGCGTTTCCCTTGGACTTTAAGTTATCGAGGTTCTGTATAAATTTAAAACCACATTATGTTTATATATACATTTTCACGCTGTTTAACTCGTGGGTAAGATAATTTGAAAAGTAGCCTGGGAGAAAGGGACAAAAATGCAAACCAATAAGACATAAGAAATTTGATTATGCTCTGAAAATCTGACTATCGTAATGTCTATTATAAATTGCGAAAGTTTGGATGTATGGATGTTTTTCAGAGTTTAGTCTAAACTGCTCAACGGATCTCGATGAAATTTAGCATAGATTCAGAGGTTAGTCTGAAAGAACACCAGTTTACTTTTTTAATAACACTCAAAGGACGCGAGCTAAAGGTATTGACATATGTATAGCTTAAAAATAAAGGATTTGTACTTTTGTACATATTGTAATAATTAAAAAACCACTGGGCCGATTTCAAATTCAGTGAGTAACATAGGCTATGTTTTTTATTATTATTTTTAATTCCACGTGGGTAAAATGGCGAGCCACAGGTACAATAGAACCTCGATAAGTTAAAGTTCAAGGGAAACATAAAATACTTTAAGTTATAGAGGTTTTAAGTTATCAAGGGTCTATGTTATAGAGGTTTTGGGCTCTGATGGGAAGGGAACATATTATTTTTTTGAAGTTATTGAGGTTTTTAAGTTACAGAGGTCCTACTGTAATAGATATTTCGTCAGTTTTGTACTCACGTGAGCACCGGTCGCAGCACACTACGGATATGCCCGAAGGAGGCCCTGCCGACCAGCTCGCGCAGGCAGGCCTCCGCCAGCCGCGTCGGGTCCTCCTCCGCGCCGTCGCGGCCCTCGCTCTCCATACACGACACCGTCTCGTACTTCTCCGCCACCTGCCGCGACACACGCACTGAGTGGACAACCCGGGATATCGAACATAACTAACATAAAAGAATTTAACCATCTAGGTAACTATCTATCTATACTTACTAATATTACCAATTTGAAAGTTTAGATGGATGTTTGTTAGAGTTTATAGCCTAAACTGTTGATCGGATTTCGATAAAATTTCGTATATATGTAGAAGAGAGTTTGGAAGAACACATATGGTACTCACTTTTGTTTTTTTTTTAATTCCTCGCGCACGAAGTCTTTTACATATGTTTTATTTTCCTTTTATACACATCTTAGGAAAATAAAGATACATCTTTTATTATTATAATAAAGCGTAAACACACATTTTGTTGTCTAAGATGTCAGCAATTACAGCATATTTTTGAATTTTTTTTTTTTTATAAAAAGCCCTACACTTACGTCATTTAAGCTATATATTTCCACAACATTAAACTTAGGAGGTAAAAATTTTAGATAAAAACCCTAATATGGGTAAGAGACCATAAGTTGCTGTCAACATTAAGAAAGCAAGATTGCTAAGGTTTGTCATGTCATGTCATTTTGACATTTGCTATTGATTATTTGACAAATGTAAACAATGAAATAAAATTTCCATAATTTCATGCGGATGAAGCCACACGGGAACAGCTAGTTTATTAAAAAAGTAAGAATAAGAAGTAAAATAGTAAACTTTACCTGCATATTATACAACAAAGACGGTACAATTTTGTCCATATGTTGCGCTTCCCAGATATTTTCCACAAGATCATCGGACACAGTTTTTCTTATCACACCCTGTAAATAAAAAAAAAACTAAGTAAAACAAGTGCATATATGAGGTAGTTTGATTTGGCACGTCGCTAACAAGGGTAATCTTTCGCACGACGTGCCAACTTAATGGTATACATAACGACGCATATGTAATTTAGCTACGCAAACATCGACAACAGACTTTAGAATATCGAAATATCGTACATGGGATATATATATTTCTATGTATATCTACAGTAAAATATTTTGTTGGCAATCTTACTAACATTATTTGCGAAAATTTTAATGCATGGATGTTTGTTAGATTTTTTTTATTATTTTTTAGGCGGCTTCTGCCGCTCTCGTCGCTCCCCTGACATATATTTCTCAGGGACCTGGGATGCGGGTGTTTTTATTTTCAGAAAAATTTACAATCGGTCTATGGATGTTTATTATGTTTTTAACTTAACCAGCTGAATGGATATCGACGATATTTGGCATAGATTTAAAACAGTCTGTAAAAACACATAAGCTACTTAATTTTGATTTTATTCCACACGGACAAACGCTAGTAAATCTTATTAATATTACAAATGCAAAAGTTTAGATGTATGTTTGTTAGTTTGTAGCCTAAAGTCTTTACAATCTGGGAATACATGCAACACTTTTAATTAGACGCGAATAGTCAGGTGCTATAGCTAGTGAAATACCTGCAAGCCCTGTATCCCGGCGAGTCTGATCTTATCCCTGGTGGGCTTGTCGCCGTGGTTGCTGTGGCACATGGCGGAGAACTTCGACACGAAGAAGTCGTACCGACGATGGTAAGATGGGGTATCCTCTTCTATATTCGCGAAACGGACAAACTAGGAATAGATTACAATAAACAAATAAATAAACCATACTAAAAGCTAACCATAGCAAATTGTAAATTGTCTGATAACAATCTAACATGTAATGAGATGGAAATATCGGATTTTGTTCCCTTATCTGACAGTGACCTCATTTTTAAGCTATTTGAGCCTCTATCAGCCAGTGGTGGGATAGGCCCTTAATGTTATAAATGCAAAAGATAGATAGCTTTAGATGGATGGATTTGTTGGAGTTTGTAGCGTAAACTACTGAACGGATCTCGATGAAATTTGACATAGATATAAAGTACATTCTAGAAGAACACATAAGCTATTTACTTTTTTAATTCCACGTAGACAATCACGGAGAAAGCTAGTAAATAAATAAGAGGTACAGTCGAGAAAACTAACAGTGTTCCACCTCTAAAACCACAATTGTTTGAACATTTTGAAATGATACGCGAAACAAAAACCAATACAAAGCTTATAAATGTATCTTTACATAGAAGTCTGTTAGTGACACGGCTAATTTCTATTTATTATCCCATCCTTTGTACTGCTATCTAATAAGTTATTTGTGTAAGGAGGCGGAGTTTCTCTCGTAATGAACGAATTAATTTTTTAAAAGTGGAACACCGTGAGTTTCCTCGATTGTACATCGAAAGTTTACATGTCTTTTTTCTGGTGTCCTTGTATGATGAACTTACGCTCTGTGTTGCCAATATCTGTAACTGTGGATCCGTAGATTCTAGAAGCTTCTGCACCATCTTGAGGAAGCTCTCGACGAATAGATTGAGGGTTTGCGAGTGGCACGCCAGTAGTAATTGGTCCATCGCTTCCATGGCGATTATTACGAAACTGTAACATATATTATAGCAAAATCTTAATAATATAAAAGTCAATATTCGCAATTATAGACACTACTAACTTTCGCTCGAGACTCCGTCCGCGTGAAATTAAAAAAAAAAGTGAATAGCCTATATGTTCTTCCAGACTATCCATCTCTACCAAATTAGTCGGAATCCGTTTAGCCGTTTGGGCTACAAACTCTAACAAACATCCATTCATCCATCTAAACTTTCGCATTTATAATATTGGTAAGATTTCTGTTTAATTTTATAAGGACAAAGTCGTAGAGACAAGCTATTTGTAATGTATGTTGAGGTCAAAATATAAAAAACTTATTGAAAAATCTTTTTATGACGCGATAATTCACCTCTACACTAATATTTTAAAATTTGTATTATAAAAACAGTTTAATAAGTAGTTTCGCTAAAGAAAGGTACACTAATACATTAGTAGATTTCGTCTGTGACTCCGTCCGCGTGGAATTAAAAGAAAAAGTATGTAGCCTGTGTGTTTTTTATAAACTCGACGCTCTAAGCTCTACATCTATCCCAAATAACATCGAGATCGACTCAGTCGTTCCATATATCGTAAACTTTCGCATTTATAATACTAACATGGTCTGTATTTAATATTACATTAAAATATTTTAAAAAATAAATATCCACCTGAGAAAAGCAGGGTTGGATCGCTAGTAGAAAATATAACACAGTGATGTTTTCTTATTATCATACGATAACGCCCTTGAAACGTTGGTAAACTAGTATACACGTTCTATGCAGTTAAGATATAACTTTAAGTGGTTCAAGATAAACTTTATCTCAAGTGATTAAAGTATGGTTCAATTCAAAGTTGACTGTCGATATTTTACACCTAACTAATCTTACTAATATTATAAATGCGAAAGTTTAGGTGGATGGATGTTAGATTTTATAGCCTAAACGGCTGAACGGATCTGGATAGAATTTGGCATAGATGTAAGGACACATAGGCTACTTGACTTTGTTTTTTTTAATTCCATGCAGATGGAGTGGCAGGCGAATGCTAGTTATAAATATTATAAACTACTTGTTAAATATATCCTAGGAATTGTGTAGAATTACGGATTTCATACATTTCCGGTAACATAATACAGTCTATCATTTCTGTTTTAACAAAGAGAATTAAAAAGACATCATAAATCAATTTTGTAGTTGATAAGCTTAGTTTTAATTGACCGTTTGTAATTTATGTGCATTAAGTTTTAAATATATTCTCATACTAATATTATAAAGAGGAAAGATTTGTATTAAAATAACTCAAAAACTACTAGACCGATTTTAAAAATTCTTACACCATTAAAACGCTATGTTATCAGCGGTAACATAGGCTATATTTCTTTATTTTCACGCGGACGAAATCGTGAACAATAGCAAATAAATAAATCGAAAACTCCTCAGTTTTCCTCGCATGTTGGCAGTGTTTGACAAGATGTTTCGACAGTGGAAACTCAAGTCGAGTCATGCCAATCAGAGCATAAGGGTGCGTTCTCACTAGAGCATAGCGGGAATACAGGAATTTGTTAGTATAACCCATGTAATGCTACGCTTCACGAGATTAGAAATTGTTTTAGTTTAGACTTTACTTTAACAATGGTAAAGGTATGCGGTGGGAAGAAAAGAATTGTTTAGTTTCTATATATAAAATAGAATTGTTTACAAGTTTCACATAAGAACAATCTCCTGTCTTATTACTATAAGAAATATAGGTAAACAATGAGTTAAAACTAACTTCGTTATTAGACATCTAAATAAATTAGGTCGACTGAAGTTATACAAAGCGATTCTTTACAACTGTAAGGAGCATTTCCGAAATGACCAGAGTCTTTTTTTTTAACGTGGGGAAATGCCTACGCATGTCAACGTCGTGAGTACAACGTTATTATGGTTGGTTGTTGGTTATGTCAGGCTTGCACCGACTAAAACCCCACGATTACCTCTTCTTGCCAAACATCAGGAACACGGGAACATTCTCGCACTCTACCGTGATACTGACGAGATCAACTCTGTACGAGTTCCAGACTATTATAACGTAACGTAACGCACAAGATTACCTTCCGCCAGATCTGCGGTTTTGACTACGCTACATATTATATATGCTCATGAGGGGCGCAAGAGAGCCTGACAGACTATTCTTCAGCATCCAGGTCTCCGGCTGCGAATTGTCCAGAGCCTACATCAAGTAGCCTAAGCGATTGAAGAGATTTCAACGAATGTGATGTCATTTAATATACTCTAAGTTTATTTGTAACAGAATTTCCAAAACAGCTTAACGGATATTGCTAAAAATCTGATGTAGAACATAACCTTGGAAGACATAGGCTAACTTATTTTTTTTAATTAACGCGGAGGGAGTCGTTAAAAGTAGTGTTATAAATATTTCTTACCCATGACGCCTCCTGTATATATCCCTGGAGGCCTTCTGGAATAGGTACTCCCCGATCCTGTCCAGCTTCTCCGGGCTGGAGAGGGAGTAGAATGTAAGCTTCTCCATATTGGATTTAACCAGTCCATCCTGGGGAGAGGCAGGAAAGATGTTGTCCACTAGCCGCTTGTATCGCGGCCTTAGAGCGGAACAACATCCGCAACAACCTGAAGAAAAGAGAATATATGTATTAAAAATGACATAACAGAGAACTAGCGACCCGCCCGGATTCACATGGACTGTAATATAAAAATGTGTTCATTTACATCACATTAGAAACCTTTAAAATTATTACTATCTCTCTACTATAACAAACATAAACCTTCCTCGTGAATCCTTCTATCTATTAAAAAAAATCATCAAAATTTTTTGCGTAGTTTTAAAAATATAAGCATACATACAGACATACAGCGAGAAATGTCTTTGTTTTAACTTTGTAGTGAATGTTCATATAATCCAGGTGTACACATTACATAAGAAAACACTTGAATTATTTACGAGTAAATTGGTTTAAAATTAATAAGTATGCGAGGCTTCTCAGTATGTCTAACATTGTAAAACGTAAAAAAAACTATTGAATATAGAATACATATGAATATGCGATAGTATCTTAGTTTTCTAATTGAACGTGGAAGGGGAAATCGATTTCCTTTCCCACAAAGAACATATGTTACTATATTTCAACTAGCGATGGCTTCACACAGGTGAATTTATATAAAAAAAACTAGCTGTTCCCGTGCGACTTCATCCGCATAAAATTATATTTTATTGTTTACGTGTCAAATAATCAATTGCAAATGTCAAAATGACATGACATGATGAATAAGCATGGTAACCTTGTTTTCTTGATGTTGGCAGCAACTTATGGTCCCTTTCACACATTAGGGTTTCATCCCAAATATGGCGTGAAAAATAGCCTAAAGCGTGTCATAAGTGTAGGGCTTTTTATTTAAAAAAGTATTATTCAAAAATATGCTGTAACTGCTGACATCTTAGGCAACAAAGAAGTGTGTGTTTACACTTTATTATAGTAGTATAGATACTTTTAGATAGTATTAGAATACTAGCTGTTCCCCGCGACTTTATCCTTGTGTAGTTTATGATTTCAACACAAAATTTCTCTCCGAATATAAATTAAACCACCTCGTTAATTATTTGTTTATTACAATGTAAACCCGAAATGTGGTTATTTACGATATCAAATTAGAAGACTCTAAAATTATATTTAATTACTATATCTATATAATAAAAATGGATTGTCTGTTTGTAATATCGAAAGAAAAATTCCAGATTTCGGGAAGATGATGTATTTGTGTTGCTAGTAACGACAATCGCAATAAAATTTTTTGTCTACCTGTCTGTCTGTCTGTCTGTCCGCAAGCCGCGTTTATTTCGGTTAATCTCTGAAACGACTGGACCGATTTCGATCGGACTTTCACTGAAGGATAGCTGACATAAACGGACATATTATAGGCTACTTTTTTATCTTAACATTGCGTGCATAAAGTCACGGGCAACAGCTAGTTATACATATAAACCTTCGTCTTAAATCACTCTATAATATTAAATAGCCACATTTTAGGAAGTCAGTTAAAAATACTGCATTTCAATAAGTGTAAAGTTTATATATATCTTTGGTACATAACTTACATGTCATATAGACAGTTCTGCTTACGATGAAACATGCTCTATGGGCCACTTTACGCATCGGCAACATTTTCAACTTAAAACTTTTCACTAAGCTACCGCATAACTAAATCGGATCACTTGTTAACTTTGCACTATTTAATCATTTATGCCTATTGTTTGATATAATTTATTTATGGAAATAACAATCGGTTAATTAACTTAATGAAGTTAAAGATATATGAACTTATATAATATATAGTATGATTAAAATACAATTAAATATTACAAAACATGTCCTGTTTATGGTAAACACAGTTCGGTGTTACAGTACTTAATTTTTTTATTGAATTACATTTTTTATCAAACTAACATACGATTGTTTTCACATGCATTATATACCAAAACAAACATTCAAACGAGCTTGTCTACACACAACGTGGATGAAACATGTTTTAGACACAAGAAAAAATCACTTAGTCTCGCTTCGACTTCTTATATGGAGATACAAATACTACTTTTTTTTGTGCAACTAAACAGTTGACGCGAAACAATCGACAATCGCACAACAGTTGTGCGATAGTTTATTTAAAGTGCGTCCGCTATAACTATGCACATCACTGATTGTCACAGCACACTCGACACGTCCGTCCCGCGTCACGTCACTCGCAACTATGTCACGCAGAGATATCACGCTGATAACACGCGAAACGCGTAAATAGTATCTGTCCCGTGAATCACAAGTTATACGCGGTTCATACTTAGCCAGTAGTTAGAACCGCTCAATAATTGGTCTGGCAAACCACTAACAGTATGAACCCTAACTAGCACCAGTGAGTGTGTGGCTAAGTCATCATCAACCTGCCCTTATCCCTTACGGAGGGTCGGCACAGTATGTGCTGTTCTTCCATACATCTCTATCAGCCGTCACATCTGAATTCACTCCCTTCTTAAGCAAATCCACTTTTACACAATCCATCCATACTTTCTTCGGACTTCCTCTACCCTACCTTTGTAGAGGGTAAAGGAAGAGCATCCAAGTACTCCGATCTTTATTAAAATTTTAATCTGTGGTTTATAATTTTATATGTAAATGAAAACTGATAGTTCATTTGTTAGTCATTCCGACTGTTGTACTCAGAGTTAAGTGGTCAATGCATTAGAGTAGATTTAATTAGGGTCAGTTTAAGTAATCAAAAAAAGGCTTATGATAGATAATGAATAATGACTCTCGGCCCAATACTGAAACGACATTAAAATATATAACTTCTTAAAGGCTTAGGCCACGATTAAATTCCGAAATCCAGTAAAGTTGTAACATCTGTCAAACTGTAAATGGCGTTTACGAATCGACGTATTAAAAAATCTTTTCAGTAAGCAGCCGTTACTTTTTCGTACATTATTACTACAATTATTTATTGCGGTATCTCATACTAAAACTATACTATCTACTCTTAGTGTCCTATTAACGACCTTAAATATGGCATTAAGTACTATTTTATTGATGGTATAAAAAGACATCTTTTGACTATTTATTGTCTCAAATGACTTTCATGAAAACGGCACACTCATGTTCAAACGTTAAAAACACTATAAGATAAAATTATTATTTCGTGATATTTTAGAAAATAATGTGCCAAATGAATAGAATATCTTGATACGTGGTCATGATGTAATAATTCATTATTAAATAAATAAAATATGATTAAAATTTAACATAAATCAACAACTAATAATTAAATAAGTCCATTTTCTTAGTCTAATTCATTCACAAAAACATCATTATTAAACAATTTAATAATGTAATAATAATAAAATAAGGTCACAGACGATATCACTATAAATTCACTAAGCAATATTCGTCAAAAACAATGAACTTCGGAGACGAGTGTCGTGTCGCGGTGCTAAATATAAACTAGCCAGGCCGGCTGAAATAGATGCTGGAAAGGGCAAACCCATCCCCGTGTAATAGGCCCATAGCACACTGCAGAAGCGAAGCGGAACCAACGCGAAAAGTATGTTACATAAATCTTACACGCAACTTAAAATATTAACATTATATATATTAACACTATAATAAAGCGTAAACATACACTTCTTTTTTGCCTAAGATGTCAGCAATTACAGCATATTTTTGAATAAATCCTTTTTTTTAATAAAAAGCTCTACACCTACGTCACGCTTTAGGCTTTACATTTTCACGCCATTAAACTTAGGGGGTAAGCATGTTGGATAAAAAACCCTAAAGTGGGAAAGAGACCATAAGTTGCTGCCAACATGAGAAAAGCAAGATTGCTAAGGTTTGTCATGTCATGTCATTTTGACATTTGCAATTGACAATTTGACACATGTAAACAATAAAATTAAAACTTTCATAATTTTATGCGGATAAAGCCGCACGAGAACAGCTAGTATTTTATATACAATGTAGACTGAAGCATTCCATTTTCGCTTCGTTTTCATATCTTCGCTTCGCTTTGACTCGCTTTCACTGCAGTGTGCTACTGGCCTAAGGCTCCTACACACTTGAGTGACGATTTAGTAATTCAAACTTTATAATAGTTATTGATCCAAGACTATATGTTTATTTGTTTAATATGTACATACTTATGTCACATTCAGAGCCTAAATGAGCACAAATTATATTGTACATTTAAATTTTTAATGAAAAACCCTATACATCAACAAAGTAAAAAAACTTACATTTGTAGTAATCTTGATAATAGTCTTGAATACATAACTGTGTTTAGAAATTATTATAACTTATTTGTAAAATATGAGATAATTAAAGGTTGCAAGGATAGTGTCCAGTGTGAAAAACTGTTGTTTAGGATTTTACATATCTGAACAATAGTTAACTGCTCTATTGCCTTCCTCCATACATAAGTAGATATAGAGAGATCACATATATAGAGCCCGCTTTAACATCTTCACATGAATGGGCTGGCTCACCGGTGATAATACCATGACCACACAGAAAACAGGTGTGGAGTGGAATCAATTCCGCGTTTCGTCTGATGAGTGTGGTGCCGAAGGCCTAATTTTAGTCCCTTTCCCTTTCCACCCTTTTCTCAAGAGGAAAGGATGGGAAGGAAAAGTGGATTTGACGGTGGAGACACATAGGAAGGAGAAATGTCCTCTTTTTGTGCGTCTCCTCCGTCAATTAAGGGTAGGGTAGCAACGCATCTGCAAATGCGGATGTTTACGGGCAGCGGTCGCTTTCCATTTCGGTGGATTGAGATGGCTGCTTACTCGTTTGTCACTTTATATTATAAAAAAATAATTAAGTAGGTTATAAAACAAATTTAACAGAAATTGCTTAAGGGTTAAATGACAACAAATTCAAAGACACTATATATTCTAAGGTCATGTATTCATGTAATATACATTTAATAAAAGTGATTTACAATTAATGTTTCCGCTTTTCATCCCTACTGTCTCGTCCATCCCGACTTGATTTAGCACGGTCATAATCGTCATACTTCCTTGACATCATCCGACTTCTCTTATCATCCATTCTTCTTTCCCGGGAACGATCTAACTCCCTATCCCTTGAACGAGACTTATGCCGTTTACTTGAATAGTCTCGTTTACGATCATAAGGAGATCGAGACCTCCGTTCACGTTTCTTATGACCACTACTGTGATACTTTGATAATGGAGGAGTTTTTGGAGACTTCTCTTTTTTAATATCCCGTTTACTGTCTTTAGAAGTTGATGCAGCTGGAGAATCAGCCTTCTTCTCTTCTGCCTTTGCTTCTCTCTCTTTCTGTGCTTGTATGTATTTGTTAGCTTGATAGATTTTCTTTAAAGCATCCACTTTGTTTTCTAAATCTTCGGGATTCACTTTAAGTCTCTTGTACAATTGTAAAATTCTTAAAGATACTTCTCTAATATCCTCTTCAGGTACTTTGAATAAAAGAAACCAGTGGGGATTATTTGGTAATGGCAGACCGATTTTACGGGCTGTCAGATATATGCAAGCACAGGCAATAGTTTCAGGAGCAAATCTCATAAACACATCAGTTCGGAGTGCATCATTCATGTAGTTCCATGCTAATTGCATGAGTTGTCTATTCTTTTCATACTTTAGTAGCTGGAGATATACAACGATAAGTTTGTGTGGATGTTTTACATGTACACAGAAGCCCAATTCTTTTAGTATCCGCCTCTCCGCTTTAATTACCTGATTCTTCAGTTCTATGTAATTTTGATCAACTATTAAAGGTGAAATGTTTTTCTGCGCCCTCACTTGTTTTATATGATGGAAAACATTAATCACATCACGTATTCTGCATGGTTTCTCCTCGACTTTTGACGCCAGATATATACTACCCATAGCTGTAGTCTCCATTGGATATCTAACGAAAGATTTCGAGTAATAGAACCTTTGTAAGTACATTTGACCAGTAGCCATCGCTACTTGGGGTAATTTAAGTAAGATACCTGCAGTTTGAATCATTTCACAACCTAAAATTCGTAGGTCCGTTTCGGTTTCAATGTCAAGTCCATCGACTTGTGATGGTGTCTGTTTAAAAATGGATTCAGGTAAAAGACAGTTGTGGAGGGTGAGCACAATCTTGCCATAGGTCTTCTGAGGCTTCGTTGCTGTTCCATTATTAGTTTTTGTTTGGTTCTGTACTGTTGTAATCGACATGTTGGTTTCATTTATATTTTAACTTATATTATAAAGAAACACGTATAACATCAATTGTAGTGATATTCAAACTTTTCTGTACACTTCATATTACATTTTAGCTATTAATTATTGTAAAATTACACGACACGAATCTCAAAAATGCTATCGACGAACGAAAATGACAGGCGAGGAAGCCAAGATGGCGCCACAAAACTTAACAGATGTCAAGGTGGTTTAGGTATTTGCTGCTCACGTAAGAATCAAAAATTACTGAAAACATGACTTACCATGGGCCATTGTCCAAATTATCTATAACCTCGATAAAATACAAATCAATAGCACTTTTTAACTAAAACTAGGCGTTGATTTTTAAATGAGTCACACAAATCAACACAATTCTATTTTGATTTTGACATAAGTGCGTTCTGTTTTTGCTAAAAAAAAATTCAATGCAATCTTTGATTGAGACTAAAATCATATTTTTTCATTTAACTTTAGGAATGTTACATTTATATTTATAACAAAAGTATCGGAACAACAATTTATTTCCATTCTGCCAAAAATTGTTTTACATAACTGAACTTTTTTTTTGTTACAAGGATGAAACAGAACGAATACTGGAAGCGGGAAACTTAAAAGAGAATCTTATCGATCAATAAAAAATAAATTTGATTAAACAAAGATAGTACCGTCATAAAAGTTAACACTTTAATGAACGACGTTAAAATTAACGATTTTTATGAATAAAATCTTATATAATATTTACTTACATCCTGGGTCCGTGCATTTTTGAACAAATGAATCCAAAAAATCATGCCCTTCTCCCGCTTCAAAACAACATTTCACGATAGACATTTTTAAAACAAGTACTTTAGAACTAGAAAAATATAGTTAACGTCAACGTATGTAAATAATTATTCTTTTGTATATTTGTTTCATAAAAACTATTCTTAACAAAACAACCTTTTGATTACAACTATGTTTAATTCACAATTATCACACAATAATGAAATTAGTCAACATTAAAATTACGAACACACACAACACAATGTAACGAAAGCACATAAAAATAGATACTTCAATCAGTAAAATATTTAAACATTGTAAAAAAATAATATTGCTTAAAATGTACCCTAGGAATCTAAAAATAAAACACAGATTTTATAAACAGGTCAACATGTCACATTTGGTACTTTCATTTTTATTTTGTCGAAATTATTGAACACGCAAAATGTCAATGCGGCCATAGCAAGCTATTAAATATAAAACGACAAAATTTTTAGATAGGGAGCATGTTCTGGTTTACTATAAAATAGTTTCATTTAAAATTTGCAGTGTAATGCGCGAGCGGATCGCGCGTGACAAAATTGACCAGATGCGATGACAGTTCTAGTTTTAGCTACCGGACACTAGATGTCTCTATACCAAGTTACGTAGAAAGTCTTAATTATTTCTTCTTAGTGATTTCGTCTGTGATATTTCTATGTAATATCTCTTTTTTTAAAAAAAAATCTATGTGAAAAATCATGTTATTAAGTCACGTCGAGACCTCTTTATTTCAACCTTTTTAGCGTGCTTTCAGCATCGAGCTTTGTTTCTAAGTTTCCTCCCATACCACTATTAAAGAATTTGTTTTTTTTTAATAATGATCATTTCCCTCGTCTCGGTGCTAACATAGGGTTCAAAACATACAAATGGCATTAAAATTTTGTTGTTATTATGTATGTATTTGGCATAGGAACAATTAAAAATAATCTTAGAATATATGTTTTGAACACATACTTAAAATGAATGGTAACGGTAAATTATTTCTTAAATCACAGTATATTATTACAGTAATTGTATTGCGTCAGACTTAAAGTCGAGCCAATGTGCTCGTGAACGGTTGCTCGATTTGGCAAAAAGCCACTGTTATCGCAAATCCTGTCGCCATGTCCCGCTAAATCATGATAGCTACGGAACATTTACCTTTCCTTAAACGGTCTTTGTAAACGCATAGAAATTGTTATGTCAAAATTGCCGCCAAACCGCAGCACATTTTGCCATTTGACGCTTTGGCGCCATTATTTTATTAATATTTTTTTGCTTTAAGTGTCGCATTTAAGGGCTGAATGTGAATAAAGAAATGTTTTATAATTTATTTTAATTACCAACTTTTTCGCCCATAGCTTAGGGCCTCGGCCCTCAGAATGACCTAATAGTGAGTTGATGATAATTTAAATATAAACAACAAATTATTTAAGATAGCTGTACATGTAACCTTATACTTTACAAAGGATAATAAAAAAAATAATTCTCGTAATTGTTGCGAAAGTAGATAATACAGTTATACTGTAAGCTGTTTAATTAAGTTCACAGAATAAAGCAATTAATTACTCTAACTCTGTCCATTGCTAGTCAATACAGGAAGTCTAAACAAAGTTACATAAACTAGGTAACAGATATTGTTTCAATGTGGTAAGACAATGTTGTCATTTATGAATTCGTCATTAACATTCACTGTGGACTAATTGAATGCAATATTTAAAAAATAACAAGTCGTTTTCCTTCAAAACGCCTTCGGTATAATTCCTTGCGGTAGAGCCTTTTTGGACAACGCAACCGATCTCTTGCCTCTCGCCAATTTAATTTTTTAAAACCAATCATTCAGTCGACCTCGGATTGTGGACGAGAGCGGGCGCTCTGGGCGCCATTTTGCTTTTAATGTCAAACTACGCGGTAGTGCAGTGATTTAATTTATTTTTTTAATAGTGTATCGTGATCTTTTTAAAAACTTGTGATATATTTTAGTATTCTGTGTAAAAAGAAACGTTATTTTTTTTGATGTGTTTTGTGTTTTGAGTGTATTTTTTAAGTTTTTTAAATTTTTAAATCATTTGAACTATCGCCGGTATTGCGGATGCATTTGTTTTTGTAAGTTTTTTTCAATCAATTCGCAAAAATTCTCACGGAAATTAATGTTTTAGTTAAGGTTTTAATACGTTTGGTTTTATAATTATGTATAAATAAATCGTGCATCATTTCTGCTTACATTTAAAACCGGTTTGATTCCGATTATTGCTTGTAATAAGTTTTATTTGAAATAAACTCTTATATATTATTGTTAGATACACATTATAGTTCCGTAATTTCTCAGTTTTTAATAGGCAATGTAATAATATCATAGTAAATTACACAATTTACAGTAACTGGCCATTAGGTTCACTCTCGCTGACAGGTTAACCTTTTCAGATCGTTTGAAAGTAAGAATTGCAACTTTAAGATAAATCACAAGATTGCAAGTAAAAAGATATTAGTCATATAAAATTATTTCGTCTGATTACATAATTTGTACTGCTCATATTTTAATGTTTCTTATTCTAAATTTACTAATGATTTTATTATGATTTTAATATGTTTGTTAAAAAAACGCTTGACCATGATCACACCCGAGGAACAATTTTGTAGCTTTTTGTATTATCCTTTCTTAGGAATGAAAAACCCTCAGGGTTTTAAAAAAAGTGACTTGAAAAGGATATAGTACACATAAATAGTATATTTTTTATGTCATAAACCTTTACTTTACGAGACAAAATAACAAATGAAGATGTAAAAATTTAATATGCAACGCCATTTTATTTAGCGCGCGCAAACAATTTGCAGATAATTTGAATTGATATTTTATTATGGATATGTAACCATGCGGGTAAACAAAACGTAACATCATTTGATCATTATTTTTTTATCTATGTTAGTATTAAGTGAATAAAAATAACAGAATATCTTTATAACCGATATCGAAATGTGAATATGTACCCTACATACGTATTGACAGTGGGGACCTACGCTTGAAAAACCTGAAGGAAGAAGTTACTTGACTCATCCGATGAAGATGGATGCGTCAAACAAATGTACGTAAAATTTATCAAAAATGTGGCCAAATATCTTACTTACTAATATTATAAATGCGAAAGTTTAGATGGAGGCATGTTTGTTAGTTTGTAGCCTAAACTGCTGAACGAATCTCAATGAAATTTAACAAAGACGTAGATAGTCTAGAAAAATACATAGACTATTTCCTTTTGTTATTTTTATTTCCACGCGGACGGAATCAAAGGCAAAAGCTAGTGGTATCTTTTATTTCGAAGCAAGCATTTCCGTTCTATTTCATTGACTGTTAATTTATTATAATGAAATTTTAAAACTAGAATATCATTCAAACATGAAAGTGGAAAGTGGTTAGGGCAGTTAATCTTTGATTGTTTTATTTAAAAGATTCAATAAGCCACGAGAGAAACGATTAGTGACAGAAAGTTAGACGAGAAAGGGGCCAGTAAAGGGCCACAACGAGCCGTTCAACTAGTATGCCATCTCTCTTAGTTCTACGATTAACGTTTACTTACATTTAACGAATTTTATACAAAAACTACACTTAGTATTAATCAATCTTAGTAACTAATATTATAAACTAGCTGATCCAGTGCGGCTTCATCCGCATGAAATGTCAAAATTCAAATGCACAAATGACAATCGCTTCCTTGATGTTGGCAGCTACTTATGGTCTCTTTCCCACATTAGGATTTTTATCTAAAATATTTACCCCCAATGTTTAATGACGTGAAAATATATAGCCTAAAGCGTGACGTAAGTGTAGGGCTTTTTATTTAAAAAAAGAGCTATTCAAAAATATGCTGTAATTGCTGACATTAAGATGTCAGCAATTACAGCAATTACAGCAAGCGGCAACAAAGAAATGTGTGTTTACGCTTTATTATAATAGTATAGATGCGAAAGTTTAGATGGACGGATGTTGGAGTTAGCCTAAACTGCTTAACTGATAACGTTGTGCAGACCACGCACGCAGAGGATAGTCTGTCGGAACACATAGGGTACCGCCTTTTGACTTTTAAAAGTTCCACGTTCAGGCGTATTCTTCTATCATGCTTCTTGTATTCGTCCGCCTCAATTATATTAAAGCCGTTGTCAGCTTTAAGATATGTCCGTGTAAAGCGACCCTTAAGTCGTCTGACTCATTGGTCTCTGATAGTCTTCGAAACCTCGCTCTACAGCCGGAGGCAAGTTACATAACAGCATACATGCTCGGCATACTTGGATCCTTGTTTATGTGACTTTTTGTTTTGTAACCAATTGGCATGGTGGATACGTATGTTATGTAATTTATATTTAAAATCTTTTGTTTTAACTGTACTGAATTCGC